AGAATTCAAAGTGGTTGACAAGCGACCATTTTGTTTTAATGAATGAGGTTCTAGTGCCATGTCTCTAACCTGTTTGACCGATTATGTTCAAATTTTATATATTCATTATACATCATGTCATAGATATACAGATGTATTGGTTTGACTTTCCGATTTGAAATGGCCGACTGATGGCCATTTTGTTTTAATTAATGCTGTTCCAAAGCAATTTCTCTCAATATGTTAAAAAACAGTTAAAAAATCATAATCAAGCATCAGCTTCTGGATCCATACAATGTATCTCTGACATGTTTATGTTCCAACTAAAATATATAATCTTAAATTTGATAACTAACAAGGACTGTGCCAGGCATGGCTTGTCTCAGTTAGAATCACATTGCTAATGTAAAAATTGTAATGTATTGGTTGCATTATCATTCCATTTCGTTTTACTTCCAGGAGAAAGTTGAGCAGTGTCCAATGGGTAGCAGTAATAATATTATTTCTGGCACTTGTTACATTGTCTAGCCGAGTGGATGACTACCACACACATATGAATCAGCACAAAGACCATGCAATAGATCCAGCTGTTACAACAGTAAAACCAGTAAACCAGGACGATGCCTGTAATATACAAATACTAAAGACTTCTAGTGCTAAAAATTCAGTACTCAAAGATGAGAACAAGAATGAGGGTGGTGAAGCAGACAGTTTTATATTAAATCAGGGACACATTCTTGTCATCACGCAATGCTTAATAGCCTCTATGGCAAACATTTATAATGAAAAGATTTTCAAAGAAGGAAAAGGAATGGAAGAAAGTATTTACGTTCAGAACAGTAAACTGTATATGTTTGGTGTAATATTCAACTCACTGTCTCTTGTAATACATGACAACTATCGGACTAGATTGTTACAGTGTGGGTTTTTTTATGGGTATAATGTCTATTCAATTATTTTGATATTCATCACAGCTACTCTGGGATTGACTATCGCAACCATTCTGAAATTTCGAGACAACATGTTCCATATCATGTCATCCTCTACAACGACTGTGACGGTTATTACTCTGTCAGTGGCTTTCCTGAATTTTCAGCCGAGTTTAGAATTCTACCTTCAAGCTCCAATTGTACTGCTATCAATATACGTGTTTAATGCAACAAAGCTAGAAGAGGAGGTAGGTAAACTGTCTCCAAGAAGAAAGAACTTTAGCCATACTAGTGCAAATGGGAAGGTGAGTCATTGTTTATTCATTCGACAAGTTGAATCCTCTTAATCCTTTGAACTGCATTCATTTCTGAAAGTTATTCAACACTGTGCCCGCCCAGATCAATTTTTATGGGTATGGAACATTTGATTTCCAAATATCCTGGCTTATTTCATTCCAAGTTGTAATGAGTCATATTGCCATCTGGTGTCTGCAATATTTGCATCATGCTGCCATACATCAAAATATAACTATATTTCTGTCATATATGTACCTGTAATTTAAACAAAGCGCTATAACTGTTATAAGTATAGTTACATTTTGAGTATTAAATTAAATTCCAGTGCCAGGAATAAATTACTACAAGAGATTACTACAAGAAAAGCAGTACTGAAATGAATGCACAGTTTATATTATTTTTGTGATAACCTTACTACCGTATTTGCTCTATTAAAAGCACATCTCCAATAGAAGTGTACATAAGCCGTAAATTGCATTTTTTATATCATGGATCTTTAAATTTGACCATAGAAACACCTCTAATTTGCATAAATTCATGCGCTACTAATAAACCTAATATGGTATTGCATTTTTTTCTTTTTGTAGTATCAATAGACAACCCAAAATGCCGGCTAAAATAACACAGGCTATAGTGCAAACAAAAATGGTGTTCAAATGTGACATAAATTTATTCAGTGTTGGTGGGATTCACCCCAAATAAAGCAAAATACAGAATGAGTGCATGTGCATTTCAAATGATTCAAAATGCAGCTTTTTACGAAAAGCTAAATTCTGTTATTTTTAATGAATAATATGTTGTAGTAACCTGCTCTGTTATTGTTGTTCTTTCTTTTCCCAGATTAACAGACCTGAACTCCAACAGTTGATTGAGTCTAATGAATCAGAGGAAGCAGAAAGTTCATTTTAGTTTTTTTTTTTTTTTTTAATAATTTTTGTGCCAGGCGACATTGAGTGTCACTGTTGTCTCTCCTGACATTTTTAGCTCCGCTGTCGACTTTGTCGAGCGGAGCTTATCATATGAGTGATTGTCCAGCGTCCATGTCAATGTTTTACTTTTTCGACTTCTTCTTGAAAACTACAAGCCTGAATGCTTTGATACTTGGTGTATATGTACCTTGGGTAGACCTCTCTCAGATTTGTTCATTTCATGATCATATCTTCAATTCTCTAATTTGGGTGAATATTTTTGGTAAAAAGTGATATTTTCAACTTCTTGTCCGTCGTCGTCCGTCTGTGTCAATGTTTTACTTTTTCGACTTCTTCTTGAAAACTACAAGCCTGAATGCTTTGATACTTAGTGTATATGTACCTTGGGTAGACCTCTTAGGTTTGTTCGTTTCATGTTGATATCTTCAATTCTCTAATTTTGGTGAATATTTTTGTCGTTTTTGGTAAAAAGTGATAGTTTTGACTTCTTGTTAAAAACCGCAA